TGTATGTGTAATAGCAATACCCTCTCTAATTCTTCATTGGTTCTTTTTTTATGACTAAAACATAACCTACAAAAAGGGGCTGTTTAATTCAATCATCAATTCACATCCATTGAATAAATTAAAAAAAGCACAATGTATATAATAAGTGTAAATAATTTAATTGTCTTCCTAGCTCCATTGTAGAAGTTGTTAAGAAGACCGCAACTATTTTAATGAAACTATAACACTAATAGCCTATTTTAGGCAAACTTGGTTCAAAAGCCTATTGAAATGTAATTTGAAATTAGATTTGTCATCCTAATCTTAGCCTACGTGAGAGTATCTTAATCTTGGCCTATGTGACAGAGTAATTCCATTAGTTTTATTTACAGTGCAGTGCAAATGAAGGCATAAAACCTTAATTTCATTTGAATTTCATTTCATTCATCTTTTAATCAAATGAGAGTTAAACTCTATTTTTGGCAAACAAAGTTGACGATAGTGGTCCTGACAGAAGTTGTAATAATTGTAGTAGTAGTAGTAGTAGTAGCTAAACCAATCTTTTATTTTGACGGGTTGCCATGAGGACCTTTTAAGTTTCTGTAGCCTATGTATATGATATGACGATAGTTTTACTCAAATGAAATGGTCAAATGCTCATGAAGTAACTCTCAGAGCAGTTCTGGGGATGTTGTTCATGTATTTATGTCCTCATTTAGTGAGACGGCAGATGCTGAAAACACAGCGAGCGTCACGCACTTCAGTATGTGTGTAGTAAACAAAACCGCACGTCTGTGCCATTCACATATACAGAGACATACAGAACATGCAGGATTCATATTTAAGTAGTCTTTTTGCGGCTTAATATTTACAGATACTAGTCCATAGCACTAGTTGATTTAAGTGTACTGACCTACTTTTGATTAATTCATCCAAACTTTGACAAATTCCGTGACATTCCGCATTATACAGTAAATTCCATTTATATGACTGGATTCCGCGATTCCGTCCGCATTTTCCCCATCACGGAAACCATAAATAGATAATATTGAGTGTTTTGCAACTTCAGTGTAGTGGATTGTGATTTATTGCAACTTCAGCAACGTCTGCTGCTGCCTTAGAGAGACAACTGATGCGTGATCACTGAAGCAGCTCCAGTTAGCATGTGCTTTCGGTGTGAGAGTGCAAAACTTTCAGTGCCTTTAGTCTTCCACGCTGATTGGTCGGACTCGTGACTCTCAACAAATCAGATGGGCGGTGGGCGGAGATTGCCCTAGGCCACAGAGTGGTGAGTTCCACCCATAGACTGTAAAAAAAGATGGACGACGCGTCTCCTATTCCTTCCACTATAGAAAAGTGAAGCCAAAGCATCTTAGTATGGCCGCTGCCATCTTGAGTAAATGACGTCATTTGGAGCCCGAGTCTGCGCAGTAGTGTCATGAGGTGGAGCCGCGTATCAAACTCACGCAGACCCAATCAACCATAACGACACGCCCCGTTTTTATAGCATCAAATTTCTAGCTAAAATCAAACCTATCACAAAAACGAACAATTTAACATATATCAGCGTGATAACAACTACCTTAAATGACCAAAACCATCTTTCGGAAAACTGTATTGGAAGCGTAATTTATTTTTTTATTTTGACTCAAGTCCCATTCGTTTACATGGAGAGGGCGGGGTTAATGACATGTACTGCAGCCAAGTACCAGGGGGCGATACAAAGAGCCCGCAGCTTAACTTTTCAGGATGTGTGAGGCACACCCGGTTCCGACAGGCTGCATCAGAGCCAGATAGCGTGTTTCAAAATTAAATTATTTTATCGGCAAATCGGTTTTGAAAATGACCGATACCGAGAATCATAAAAATACTTAATATCGGTGTCGATAATCGTCCAGGCCGATAATCGGTCGACCCCTACTCAGGAGTTTCATAGTATTATGTGTAAAGTAGTTTTAGGAGAGTCGGTTACATGCAGTAGATTACCTTCTAATGGTAAAAAGAGGTTTTTGTAAACATGTTATTGTTATTGTTATTGTTTTTGTTTATTATTATTATATATTTTATGTTTACTTCGTTTGTTTTTTGGTGTGCCCCCCAAAAAAGAAAACAAAATTAGAAGTTAAGATGTGCAGACTTTCTCTTTCAAGGAAATGGACCAATAAACTGTATTAATACTTTTTTTAAATTTATTTTATTATTAATCACTAATAACTTATGACTTGTCAAGACAAATTTTTGTACATGGAATGAGAATGTCACCCAAATTTTTCAAGGTGTACATTTATGCTGAAAATTCCTGAAAAACATTTGAGGTATAACACTGCAGGGCTGTATAAATTAATTTGGAAGTAGTTCCAAATCATTACAAATGTAATTAATAATTAGTGGTCGACCGATATCGATACCGATGCCGATATCTTGGACAGCAGGGTGGCCGATGGCCGATATAATGCCGATATAATTTTATTTATTTTAATTCATATTTAAGAAATTTGAAATAATTTGAAAATGGATTAAAAAATAAACGTGTAAAATAAACATACTTATACTCTAGAAGACAAAGTATTTTTCACAAATAAATATTTAATAAAAATATAATTAAAAAGGAAGTAAACGCTGTAACCAACAGGGCACTCAGTATTCTGGGAAGTTTGTGTGCACTGGGAATCATATTTTTTTAAATAAAGCCAAGGTAACACTCATTTTACATACAGCACACAGTGAAAATGACATGAATATGACAGTGGGCAAATGCATAAAGCGCAGCATAATTTGAAATCAGTCACGAGTTTAAATTTTGTCGATCGCGCGTCTCCAGTGAAGCTGATCTCTCCTCCTGTCCATATTCAATTTGCACGGACCATAGGACCGACTGTCACAGAACACGCGATCATGCAGGTCACATGCACACTTCACAAGATCTCAACTAGATTCGACTAAGTCTGCAAGGTTTGTGAAATTAAATGTTCATTAGTCATTCAAAGATTTGTTTAAATTATATAAATGTGTATTTGCGGAATGCTGACGGCAAACGAGAAAGTATTATAATGTTTGCCTTTAATAATATTAAAGCAATCGTTATAATACTTTTTTGTATACATTTTAATTCCTTTGTTTAACAGTTCTATCTGATTATTAGATAGACTTCTATCCGTAATAGACAGAACTGAATGACAAAAGCGAACAAGAGGGAGAATGTGAGCACTGTGTGTTCAGGCGCTGCCGCAGCCGTTCTCGGCGCCGTCAAAATAAAAGTCCCGCCTCGAACACATCGGCCAAACTGAAAAACGTATATTTGAAAAATGGCAGATATCGGCCGATATATCGGCCTTGGCGATATATCGGTCGACCACTATTAATAATCACAAGTAAACTTTATTTTAGATAATGCCAATGTGTGTGTGTGTGTAGTGACTCCATTTTTACTTTAAATTGGTAAAATGTATTTTTATTTTAAAATATTCAAAATTCATTAGAATAATTTTATGATTATAGGCAAAACCTTTTTTTTCCACCCAAATGACAAGAGAAAGATGAATGGCCTTTTTTGAGGACGAGACTATTCTGTATGTTGCTGCTCAAATACCACCTGTCTCCAACAAGGAAGTAGAGAGTAGTGAATTTTGGTTCATTATGTGCCTTCACTTGTGCTAATAATGCTCATACTTTGCATACTGTGCTAATGCTCTTTGCCAACCATAAGCTGATTGTGAAGAAACTGGCAGAAATATATCCATTCTGAGTGTATTCAGTGCATTCATCCATAGTACAAACAGGTTATAACCATGTAGTATAGTCCCTTCCTGTTTCATAGGAAGTACTCATAACAAGTGCTCATTAGACCATTTCATGTTGTTGATGTTTTTTTTTTTTAATGGATAAGTTGTAGCTTTTCTTCTGATAACTGTACTCTAGTGAGAGACTTCTGTGAATATCTTGTTGGGTAATCATGCCTCTGTGGTATTGGCAGATACGGTGTCAGGCAAACTGCAGAACAACAACATCTACACCATCGCCAAGAGGAACGTAGAAGGCCAGGACATGCTGTATCAGTCGCTCAAACTTACCAATGGGATCTGGATCCTCGCCGAACTCCGCATACAACCTGGCAATCCCAATTACACGGTAATCGCTCACAGCACAAAGATTGACCAATTGTGTATTCAAACAAAGTCCGCCTCGAGGAGCGCATGCCAATTTGACGCAAAAGAGCAAAATAAATCTTGTCCCTTGACAGACAAAATGCTTTTGGCATAGTCCAGAACATATTCAAGGACATCCTTCATCCCTAAGTTTGACAGAATACTATATTAGCATAAAACCTGGCTTATTTGTCTTTTTGTACACCAATCCACTCCAAGGTTTCAGCACATTATTATATAATTCAGTGCTCTGAAGATCAGGCTTTTAAAACATGATAAATTTATGACCGTGAAAGTCATGCTTTGTGCTTGACTTGCTTGCCTAATGCATTAAATGAACAGTAAGGTCAAGAGCAGTGTGAAGCATTCAGAAAAGGCTTGTCGCACGACAGGTGGAGTATTGATCCCCATTTTTAGCTCATGGAGCCCCAGTGCCCTTTGATTCTGTCGTATCAAATAATTATTCATTTGTGTCAGTGCTATTTAACGTTCCTGAATTATCTTCACAAACGGCGACATGCATGACATGCATACATACCATTACATAAGCAGAATCTCAATAAGTGGCAGCACTCTCCTCTGTGCTTTTGTATTGAGACAACAAGTTTAATGAACTACATTTAGTCTACTTTTTTTATTTTAGAGTGTGGCAGCCTTTGAGAAAACATACAGTCTATAAGTGAATCAGCTGTTTATTTACTAACCGCTTTGACAATTCAGCGAGTAATTTGTTCAACTGATTCAAAGACCTTTGAGTGAATCTTTTTAAGAACCAGCTAAAGAGTCATTCATCTGTGATTCAGACAACAATAGTTGTGTGCAGCCAATAAGAACAATGCATTAGAAATTATTTATTGTCTTTTGTATTATTCTGTGGTTTCCCACACTCTAAAAAAAAAATGCTGGGTTAAAAACAACCCAACTTGGGTTATTTGGCGACCCAGGGCTGGGTAAATATTGGACAGAACACATGCTGGGTTATTTTGACCCAGCTGGTTGGGTTAATGTTTTTACCCAACATGCTGGGTTGTTTTATTCAAGTCAGCTATTGTTTAAAAATTATTATATTGCTGCCTTAAACTGGGCTGGAAATTAAAAAATCACTCTCAGAATTACTAGAGGCAACAGCAATAATCAAAAAATGAACATTTATTATTAAGCAAGAACACATGGACAAAATACAAGACAAATTAAATTTATTTGGGTGAATACAGTATAGTTTACAATATTGCATACATTTAAACTCATTTAACAAGCATTTTAGAAATAATAAATGTAACATTTACAAGTAGCATTTTAATTTAAGTGTATTCAACCATTCTCTGTAATCACTTTTAATCAATGTAATCACTCTAATCAATTTCACTTACACACTATTACATACCGAAATAGTGCTAATTCTCGTGCCGGTGTGTCGCCGAAATCTGAGCCGGTGAAGGGCTGCTGTTCACGGGAGAACTGCGAACTTTAGACCGCGGCCTCGTGTTTCACTCATAGCTGAAAGTGAAGACTCCATAACCTGCCCATAAATAAAAAGTACTGAGATTAGAGAACATAACATCAAATTAAATTAAACTCAGTATTATAACGAATAAAATCCATTTATGTTATGCAAGGCAAAAGGTGTTTCCATCATGAGAAGTGACCGCTGCTGACGCAGCTGACTGACTCATCCTTGTGTTGCGTTGCGTAAAATAATATAATTTACAGCACAGTAAAGACTTTATAAATTAAACAAAATGTATACAAACCTTTATTTCGCTCAAGAAGTGCACCAAATCGGCGGCGCTGAGAGCTGCTCTCTCCTGTAGCGGACACAAAAAGGCCACGATCTGACTGTAACGCAGCAGCTGGGTTGTTTCGTCAGGGACAGACTCAACTCAGCGGTTAGGTAGAAAAAAAATAACCCAGCATTAATAATTACCCAGCAACTTAGTTACAGAAAACTACCCAGCACCTGGGTAAAAAATATAAAAAATAACCCAATAAAATGACCCAACAGGCTGAACCCAGCATTTGGGTTAAAAAAATAACCCAACATTTTTTAGAGTGTGGGTATAATGTAATTGTATTTTTCTGTGATGCTATAAAAGATTGAGTTGCTGAGTGCTACAACTGCTTAAAGATGATAATGATATTAATAATAAGCTAACACCTAACAGTAGGGTTTTATATGTCAACATTAATGCATTATCTAACATGAACTAACAAAGATTAATAATAGTAATAATAATGTAGGTTTTCAGGTATTATCATAAAATATATATAAAACTTTAGTTTTTATATACATTTCTCATGTGATAACATCTCATATATATGAACATTTTAGTTTTTTTCAATTAAAAAAAAAAATATATATTTACCTTGTTGTAGTTTCAGACTTTCTTGCATTAAACAGAAAAAAAGATATTTAATAGAATGTCCAAGCTGCACTTTTCTTATGAATATGAATGACAATGACTGCTGTCCCTGCTCCCCATCCACTTTCATTGTGTGGGGAAAAAAGCAGCTTGGACATTCTGCTAAATATATCCTTTTGTGTTTCACACAAAAAAGAAATAACTCAGGTTTTACATTATGTTGAAACAATTTTTATTTTTAAGTGAATCTCTTTAAGGTCCCTTTAAGTGTGGGTACATATAAACATGTATTATTATATAATTCATATCAGCCTATGAGCAGCAGCGACTCTCGGTATGAACGGTGCTTCTCATCTGGTATCAAATCTGGTTGCATTTTTGAAATTGAGATGCTGAGTATGGAAATGAGTGCTCATCATCCGTTCGAGGTCTGTACTTACATGTTTTATAATTCATGTGGAGCCAAACAGCAGCGCTCTGCTCGACGCTCTGCCTGGTGAATTGAAATCTCTTTTGCTCAGTGAGGCACAGAACACAGGTTGAGCACCAGCAACAGCATGACACTGGAGATTGATAAGCTCCAGCTGCACATTTGACAGTGGTTTGTTATAATCATATGAGTGAGGGTGAGACAAATTACAGCATCATATTCAACTGTTTTTAATGCTTGTTCATCCAACACAAAGCTCTTGGATAAAACTGACTTAATGACAAGCTAGACAGAAAATCCCTCTTCAGATCTTCATAACTCGCTGCTAAGCATGCATTGATGTGTAAATGTGTGTTTGTGTAAGAGAGAGTGTGGACACAGCAGATGGTCAGCGTCTGAAACCTGAAAAATGCTGCCTGTGCAGGTAGTGAAGGGATGGAAATCGTAAAGAATTGAAAGGTTCTGGATTTGATTTCATTAATTCTTCTAGTACTTTGAAGGGATAAATATTTTGTTTATTATATACATATATATATATATACATACACAAAAGCTCACAAAAGTATTTTGTTTGGGAATCGGATAAACAGCGGTTACGTTGATTCACTATAAAGAACCAACTCACAGTCAGCTCTGTTTCATGCTATAGACTCAGTAGCAGTGTTGTGCTTTATAATTAGTGCAGGAACACAGGCGTCAGGACACATCCAGATTTAATGTTTCTATAGTATTGTTTTTGTGACGGCAACATAGATGTATTGCTCATTGCCTCTGATTTCCCACAATCCTGTGTGTATGGTTGGCCGTTGGTGGAAATAATAAGAATGGCATCTGATGGAAGAGTTGAAATAATTCATGAATGTAATTTTTTTCAACTGATGATTCCATTTCCAGTGAGAAATAAGCATTGTAGTCCTTAGGACAAAAACATACAAAAACCAGTCTCCGCTGACTGACCAGCTAGGAATCTGCTTTCAGTTTCAGCAGCCAATGGACTCTATACATTTCTGGTGGGAAGTTGGTGGCCAAATTAAGAGTCTGCTAAATAGATTAATCTGTTGATTAGCAATAGACCCTTCTTGATTATTCAGAAGGCATCTGTTCAGCCACCTCTGCTGAGCTTGATTGCCTGTGGCCCCCTGAGGCCAGGTCGGCTCAGTGCGATCAGAAACCCTACCTGATCCCAGACAATTGATTTTTAATGAGACTTCGGCTCTCAGTATTCTGGCAGCAGCTGGCTCCGATCTGAACAGATGATAACTGGACTCCATCGAGCCAGCGCGGTTTAACCTAACAGCCGGTGATGGAGTGCTGTTGTCTGCCAAGAGCCGAGGCCTCTGGAAACACATTCCTCAAGTAGAGGTAACCAATACAAGCCCTGCTGTACATGGGATTATGTTCTTGGTGGTCTGAGAATTACTCAGTGCAATCAATTGGATTAAAGTCACTTATTTATCTTCTGTCAGTCTGAATATAGTGACATTTAAAGGGAAGCGTTCATTGACAAAAAAAAAGAAAGAAAAAAGGTAGAAATATGAATTTTCTGGTTTATTTTTTGTGCCCTTAAATTTGCTTCTCTAGGTGAATTTAGTTGCAATTGCAGTGTTCACAGTGTCATTTTTAAAAGGTCCACTGAAGTGCTTTGAAACAGGCAGCGTTATTGTATGTGTTTACATCATTTGAACTGAAACAGGAAGACATGACGGGACATATCAAGCTGCCCCGTCCCTGTTTTTAAATAGCCAATAGCGGTCGTTTATATCACAGCTTGGGCTAGAGCTGTTAAGCTGTATTATGAGCAGTCTTTGAAAGGGTATGACAGCCACAATCTCATCCATATTGCTATAAAATATAGCATTCTGTAGAATTCAAATGGGTCCGATACGTATTGTGGTGTGCGCCGACTCGCGCATATGATCCGCTCCATGCTATCGTGTCTCTTGAACGGAGCAGACTGTAAAAATTAAATTGATTTCTCAGTTCATGACCCCTTTAATATATATATATACTGGTGAAGGTGGTATGGAAGCCCAGGTTTCTTTGACAGTGGCCTTCAGCTCATCTGCATTTTTTGGTCTCTTGTTTCTCATTTTCCTCTTGACAATACCATGGGGTTCAGGTCTGGTGAGTTTGCTGGCCAGTCAAGCACACCAACACCATGGTCATTTAACCAACTTTTGGTGCATTTGGCAGTGTGGGCAGGTGCCAAATCCTGCTAGCTTTTCCACGACATTCTAATTTATTGAGATGCACCTGTATATGATGATATGATGTGGATGTACTTTTAAAAGTTATCCTGTTTTAATGGTAACCACGCATCATGCATTTTGGGGCAGCCGTGGCCTAATGGATAGAGAGTCGGACTTGTAACCCGAAGGTCGCGGGTTCTAGTCTCCGGTCCGGCAGGAATTGTTGGTGGGGGGAGTGAATAACCAGCGCTCCCTCCACCTTCAATACCACGACTGAGGTGAGACCCTTGAGCAAGGCACCAAACCCCCAACTGCTCCCCGGGCGCCGCAGCATTGGCTGCCCACTGCTCTGGGTGTGTGTGTGCGCTTGGATGGGTTAAATGCAGAGCGCAAATTCTGAGTATGGGACACCATACTTGGCCACACGTCACTTTACTTGTCTCTCTTCATTCAAGGCTTCTTGAAAAGGTGAAAAACAGCTATAACTCCAGTACAAGAAAAACCTCATAGCACATATTATTGCATATATGTAGCCCACAAGAGTGGTGGGTCATGACCCAAAAAGCTGCTCCGGTCTGTTCTGATCTTTGTCTTATTAATTTTTTATTTTATTTGTAATTAATAATTGTCAATGTTTGATTATAAGGACTTTTTTTTTTTCTTTTTCATAAAATGAAACTATTTCTTATTTGTATGACTGTACCTTTGTTGCAAATTTTTATTAGAGCACTCCGCATTTAATTTTAAGTTACTCATTGCTATTTTTTCCCCCTCTTTCAGCTCTCTCTGAAATGCAGGGCTCCAGAGGTGTCTCAGTATGTGTACCAGATGTACGATGCCATTCTGAAGAATTAAACATCTCTATCATCCTTTTCTCCCTCTACGTATTTGTCCGCAGGATCCAGCTCTCCATGTTTTCTGCCATTGTTTTAAATCCATCTATAGGTTCCAGTTTACTCCATGTGCCCACTATGTAAAAATCATGTTCTGTTCTAGCCAAATGTCTTGATGTTGTTGATAGTGTTGAAGGGAATTTTGGAACACCGCTCCATTGTGATTATATATTTTTTAATGCTTTGTCAGTACTTCACCTTCACATGCCCTGGATTGGTCATATGCAAAGAAGGAAAAAAGCGTACAGTTGAATCTATAAATAGCATCAAGGGAATGTAACGAAGCAGATGTCTGGCATACAGAAATGTGATGTGGATGTACTTTTAAAAGTTATCCTGTTTTAATGGTAGTTACCGTTTTTGATTGACATCATGCATTTTGGCATTATTGCTTTTGTTTCATTCTCTGATATGCTGCCGTGTTGCTTTATGCAATTGTACAATGTGCCAGCTATCTGATATTAGCCTTGCATGCTTTGACCAACAGAAAAATGCCACATTCCTTTTAATGTTTTGTACACCTTGTTCATCTTAACCACTGTATGAACATGCCGACACTCCATCAATGTCTTATATTGTTTGAACTGCTATGAATCAACTTAATGTGATAGAAAAGACTGAAACATGTTTTCTATCGATCTTATATAAGTGGGCCATCTGATATTCATTCCCAGACTGAATCCATCCATATGTGATATATTGTGCTTGTGAAAGTGAGTAGGTTTTGTGAGGTAGTTTTTGGTCTCCTTGGAGTGTTAGAAATATCTGTTCAACATTAGTATACAACCTTGCTCAGCTTTGGTTCAAACTAATACACTAACAAATAGAGATGCAATAAAAAAATTCATCAACATAGACTCAGCGATACAAGGATGGATCACTTTTGGACTGTTGAGTAGAGTTTGTTTTATTACCTAAAACTGTACTAGTCTTCATGGTGGTGCTGGTGACTAAATGTGAACTTTTTTTGTTGCCATAGTTGCTAATGTGCCTGTGAACCTGCATGTACGCAGCATCCAGTAAATATCTGCCAGTAGAACACTTGTGTAAGAAGGTGAAATATTAAGACAGTAACCCTTATATGTGCAAATATGAGTTTTAATGATTACCATGTTGCCAATGTGATCACAGTGCATCTCAATACTGAAATGTAGACATAAAGAAATTGAACAAAATGACCAGATTGTTTCAGATTTATTTTATGGATGGTAATTCAAAATAAAGTCAGCTGTGTGTATTCACCCTCATTATCTTTGTCCTTATGTAATTCACCTGTATTTCTCAGATCACCTTTTTACTCAAATTATGTAGATAATATTATTTATAACAATTACAATATGATATATAATTATATAGGAATTACAATAGTATTGATATATATAACATCCATCTCACTAAAAGTAGCTGAATGCGTCTGTGAGTAAACAATGTCATGTTTAGTGAGATCAGCTCTGTGCTGGAGGTGACGCAGGCATGTCGTAATCACCCAGGTCTGCATCAGAGCCCAAACTGAATACTGAACAGCTCTTACAGCACATGCACAGAGATTTAGGGGGCAGTCAAGGCTCATTCTTGAGATGCGTTCGAACAATTTGTAATGGTTTGTCTACGTACTCATGCGTCATACTGGCGTCTTTGGACGTTGAACATCAAGTCTCTGGCTGTTTTTTTTAGCCATTTTTATTAGAGAAATGGCTCCATACGGTCATGAAAAACCTGGAATTTTAAAACTGACTAGACCTAAAATAATAAAACCCAAAATAAATATTAATGAAAATGTAATGGAAACTTCTATAATATATATGAATTGGCTTGTTGTAAGTAAAAACAAGCGGTGCTTTTGAATATTGTCTTGGACCCAATTCATAAAGGAGCAAACCAAAGCGAAAAAACATAACTGTCAATCATGGTCAGTGGTTGCATGTGATTGAATGAAGTTATTTGGACATGTCTAATTTCAGTGGAGTTTACTCAGTTTGCTTTAGTTCATCCTATATGAAATATTTCATAAAGATAATGTTCCCATCATGTAGAACCACTGTCCATGCAACTTCAGCCAAAGCGTTATAATAACATACTAACAAGTTACATATATATATATATATATATATATATATATATATATATCTAAAAGGGGAAATGTACGGTGACCATGAGGTGGCATGTTCGGTTCACTTAATTTTCTCGTGGCCACGAGTTTAATGCGTAAACAAACCTGTGTGACCATAGTAACCCGGGACATTTTTTTTATTAACATTTAACAATTATTTTTTATTATTATTATTATATTAACGTTTTTATATTTACTGTTATATATGCTTATTTCCCCTTTCAATTCGTGTATCGCTTTACCTAATTAACGTTCTGTATAATTAGTCTATGCTATTAATTGCTACCACATATTTAGCAAATTCTGTAAACGCCTGACAATTATGCCAATAAAGTTTTGACTTTATGATTTTATTTATGCCCTTGTGTGATGATAAATGAGCTTGTTGTGTTTTCATTTACAAATGAAACTACGTGCATGATTCATTCCTCAACGAAACACTATAGTATTTATAAATATAGTCTATTAATTAGCCGAAATAAAATGAAATATGTTACATTTAAACTGCATTCCAATAAAAATTCCAGTGAACTGAACATGTCGCCTCACGGTCACCGTAGAAATGACATCAGATAATGGAAGTCATTAACTGAATAAATGGGGTTAATAATTAGCCATAACCCTGCTCTCTTTTAACAGTACTGAGCTGAAGTCCTGTCGCACCTGGATACATACAGCGACTGTATGAGTGACGTGAAGCGAACAGGTAACAACCACGTGGTTACTTAGCAACAGAAGGAAAGATTAGGTTGCTAAGAGACAGCCGCGGTACTCACAGACTGTTGATACAGAGTGTATTCATGTTCAGATAGTAATGACAATGGGCAATCACGACAGAGTCACTCACACAAACAGAAGCCGGTGAGAGGGGGATGATCATTTATGTGAAATTAAATCGGGTATCCATCGATTTTGAGGTAATAAGTGGTATGTCCACGTGCAGCACGTTAGCGATGAGTTTTCTTGTACACGCTCTTCATTCGCGAGCTGGTATTTACTCGCCAGTATTTACCGCTCATGACGCGCAGCGTATTTACGCAAGGAGACCGAGAATGCTGCTGACATCTATGGCAAGTCGTTTGAACATTTATTGTTTAGTAGTTTAAAGGTGCAATAGGTGATTGTCTTCAGAAATTTTTTTTGTTATGCTGGTTGAAAGTCTCTTCACATCCCGATAGCAATCATTAAGTTAAGTGGTCTAAATGTATTTGTCTAGATTTATATATTCTGTGGAAAGCGTAGGATCAAGAAATGTTTGTCCAATCAAAACGCTCGGTCTGAGCGTTTTAATATGCTTTCCTACCTGCCTGTCAATGTATGTATTAGCATACCTCTGCGCACCGGGTTCGTGCAGACAGGATACTTATCAGCGCATTCACGCACGCTGTGCAGACAGAGCGAGAATGGCAGACAAACATCAACAACTTAATTTCTGACTTGATAGATGTCACTAAATGTCATCTCAGTACATGTATGCTCTTATTAATGTTATTAATCTAGACTTTTTATCTGAACATCAACAATTCCATCTGAAAGGTTCACGGAAAAAAATGATTAATTGAATTTACTACATTTTTTAAGGTTAGTGGTTGCAATCAATTTATTTTAGCTACATTTAAATAAACAAATTTAGTTGACTAACTTTCAACATATTTTTTATTAAATGTAACTAAAATAAATTGTTTGCAACCACTTACCTTAAAAAAAATGTAGTATAATTTTTTTCAGTGTTTGAGGTTAAATTATCTATATATTTTTTTCTCTTTGAATAAAAGAGTTTCTGAGGATTTATAAACTCAGCAAAAAAGAAATGTCATCTCTTTTTCAACTTCTTTTATTTCCTGCAAATTTCTTAACATAAAAAGAAATGGAATAATGAGTCCCTGAATAACTCAATATCAAGTCGCTGTAAATATCTTGTGTGACCATATCAGTTGCTTTAAAGCAGTGATGGGCAAACTTGGCCCTTCCAGGCCACTTTCCTGCAGAGATTTGGTCCAACCTCGATAAAACTCACCTGCCTGTAGCTTTCTAGTAGTCTTGAAGACAATGATTAGCTGGTTCAGGTGTGTTTGATTAGAGTTGGAGCTAAACTCTGAAGGAAAGTGACCTGGAAGGGCCAAGTTTGCCCACCCCTGCTTTAAAGGAATAGTTCACCCAAAATTGAAAATTTCCCCATGACTTACTCAGCATCAAGCCATCCAAGGTATATATGACTTTCTTCTTTCAGACGAATACAATCAAAGTTATATTAAAAAATGTCCTGATCCAGTTGTGTAAAAGAATATTCATGTTTCAAACTTTGTAAACCGTAATCTCTAGCTTCTTCTAACTGTCGTAAACATGCTCACAATAGAACGCCGTTCTGGGCGGATGACGTAGGACGTAGGCTTAGCATAAGCTCCGGTGAGAGGTGATGAACACGGAAGCTCAGAGGAGAAAGCAAAACAAATTAGAATTAGAAATACAAAACAAGGATTTGTAAAGAAAAATATCAGATGATTTTAATATAATCCATGAGTAGACTGGGTTTTCCTTTGCTAAACAAAGGAAACTTTGCTTCCTTTGCTCCTGTAAACAAAAATTGGTTATCACAAGACTAGCATATTCTCACCGGAGCCCTCGTAATACGCCATCTGCTGCAGTGCCACTCTCTCGTGAATGCAGATACGAAAATTAGCAGAAGCTAGAGATTAGTTAGTTTATAAGTTGGATATTAACCTTTTTATGTTACATTTATATAGATACAGTTTCAACATTATTTGTTCTTCAGACATTCCTCTTTACAAGAAAAGAAGTGTCATACTTTTTCAAAGTGACCCACATTTGGTTTTTGCAGAATTAATTTTAATATTAGAAACAGTACTAATGGTATTAGTTAGATGCCAGATATATTAGTCTATGTATTTTTAAGCTATGATTCTCCCACTATTCTGAAAACAAAACAGACAACCAAACAAAATATAATTTACTTGAGTTTCTGACAAAATGTTTTATTAATGTTATGAATGAGTCTATTTAAAAATATTTATTAATTTAAATGAATTAGCCTAATTATGTAAAAAAATCATTTGAAATAAATAAATGAAGACTTGTTTCATTTTGAAACTCTTGAATGAATGATTCAGACATCAAATACATTTAACAGTCACTGTTCGCCACCTACTGACATAATGTAACATATACAATCATTATTTGCAGCGTATCATTACTTTCAAAGGCCAGTTACCCATTTTGATCGCGGCTGCTGCAACATCAGAGTCTATATCCGGATCAGGGCCATCCTTTGGGTGGTGCAACTGGTTTGAGGGGGCCCCACGGTGAATGGATCGAACGCGATCGCGAACGAACCGAGGGGGACCAAAACCCGAACATCTGCTCACTCTGGATCAGCGGCTGTGCAAAAGCAGGTTTAAATATTCCGATGTGATTGTGATTTCAAAGGTTTAATAGACATAGCAGAATCACCGTCATTTAGGAGAAAAATCGCATGTGTTTGAATCGAGATTCCGATCTTTTAATGATTATACGTGCATACATATGAGTCTTATAGCCTATGTATTTTTCTAGCCCATGTCATATTTGTACCAGACCTCAAAAGTAACCCGGGCCCAGGCCTGGCGGCCCCCCCGCTTCCGCGACCCACTGGCACATAATGCAACAAAGAGAGGTTCTTTTTTATCACCAACTTCAGCAAAGATCAACTTGAGCCTTCAGATTGCATCAGGACTCAAACTTAGTCTTATTAATTTATACATTAAGTATCATTTGCACCTTTTACAAAGGTGTGTTTGAACTAATAAACTGATGTTTCCTTCAGGCTGTAGATCTGCTGAATATCAAATTTGACCATAACTTCATGCTTTATTTCTTTTCTCTTTACTGCTTAAGCTTTAACATATTTTCCTATGCCAACTGTATGTGTGTGTGTGTGTGTGTGTGTGTGTGTGTGTTAGACTAGTTCAAGTGTTTACATAGTTAATAAAGTCTTACTTGTCTCACACTTGAGGTTGTTCATTGTTTGCTCATAACTGGAGTCCCTAATCATGCAGATTTTTTCTACATGCTCTGAGTAGTATTGTACAATAAGTTATTTTCCTTAAACAGGAAAGTAATGTTCTTAGAATTGACAGACAGTTGACACTGAGATGTCAAGTAAATACTTACAGCGGATCTAAATATTTATAATTAAACTAGTTATGATTGATTATTCATATTTCCCCTTTGAGCTGATTCGCTACACCCTTCTACAAAACAGTGGATTGCTCAGTAAATATTCACATGTAAATAGACATGTAATATTTTGCCTTTTATCACTATACATGTTTATCTTTCTTCAGAAAAAAATATTAGCAAAATCAAAAATTTGTGCCGGGAAACTGAACAGTATTTATATCATTTTTTACCTCTGATGCACTGCAATGTCTGAACTGTCTGAACTGTCTTGAGCACGTCCTCGACACAGCCGGCCCGTGACGCGTCTTCTTCTTCTTCTTGCTTTACGGCGGATCACAGTACTTATAAGTGCATTACCGCCACCTATCTCTCAAATGGACCATTAATACTAGATAGAGTCCGATTGTTTTGTGTCTTTACACATCAATGTATCGTCACGAGCCGCAGGGTTTAATTTGGTTTTGTTTGTGTATGTTTTTTTTTTTACTCTCAAAGCCGTGATTCCCATTCACTTCCATTATAAGACTGACAGACTGCAACGGTTTGAGTTAAAAATCTTCGTTTGTGTTCTACTGAAGAAACAAAGTCACCTACATCTTGGATACCCTGGGGGTAAGCAGAAGAACTCGACGAGAAAGATCGCGCAGGTGTTCAGCAGCCCGAACCTCGCGAAGAATGCAACTTCTCACCTGCGCATAAGGTAAGTCACCGGAGCCGCACGCGATACGCTTGAACCGACAGTCTCCTGCTTCAAATCTAAAAATCTTTATGGGGAATGATAAAGTGATGGGGCATTTAGACAGGTATTTAGCGCTTATATATGTTGAGTAAATGAGCAAGTACATGACAAGTGCGTCTTTATTCTAACGGATGCAGAGAATACGTTACATAAGCATTGTGTCCATTATTATTGGTCTAATCACGCTATAGATTGACATTGAGAAGATTCATAGTAAACTATTGAATTAGCATCATTCATCCTGCCCCCTGCAGTAGCTCTATAAGAATAGCTCACACACATAAAGGTGCTGCTGCCTGTGTCGTTTGGTTATATGTGGCGTTTTCTATTAATATCTTTGCTCCATTTAAATCATCCCAACCCACTTTAAGTGCTTTATATCATGGGAACATTGTGACATATCATGCGATTAACAGACTATGATATATAAACAGATTACTGTAAATATGTACACTTATTGTCAAATATTTCTGCATAGGTCTCACAGGAGCTTTATTTTATTTTAATGCATTTTTATTATTAGTTTTTTATTAATATTATTTAAATGTTTATTTTTGTATTTTTCTTTACTTTTCCCTTGTATCTTATTTTGCTGTTTTAATATTTTGCTTTCTGAATTGTACAGTACTCAGCTGCTGTTTTAAATGTGCTATATAAAGAACAATTGAACTATTTTCTAGTAGATACATTAGTAGATACCAATAACTAGTAGATACCTATTAATTGATCATACATTTGAACTATTTTGGATAGATGTATGTGTCAGTTTATGTGGTGTCGAACTAAACTGCATCCACATCGAACAATAACGACACTATTTCCTTCTGCTTGTAGCTGAATTGAACTTGTTTATAATTGATAAACTTAACACAGTTATTGAACTGAACTGGGCTGTGTTTCCCAAAAGCATCGTAAGCCTAAGTTGAACGCAGCCCTGAACTAACTCTGAGCTATGACACTGTTGTCTTTGTAGAGCTGTTTTACAGGAGAACTTGGATTTGTCTCATATTTGATGTATTTCGTGTCACTGATTCTGTTTTTTTTTTCCTGTTATTACTGTAAAGCTGCTTCGAAATAATCTCTATTGTATAAATCAGTATATTACTAAAGGTGGTTTCAAATGATTCAAAATCCTGTTTTTATTTGAGTTGGACTCTTGATTGGCATTTTCATCTCTCTTCTATTCCACTTTTCTCTTTCTTAGAGGCTGCTGGCCTATGAATGGGACTGTGCTGTGGCCAACACTGCTTTCGGGACTTCAGTCAGGACTATGTGCTGCCCATGTGCCACTCTGAATGCACTGGCCAGCTGTTTGCGAGAGCAGGGAGGGTGGGGCGGCCCACCGGGGGCGAGGTGGAAACAGGGCAATGCCCCCTCCGTTCCGGATCGCGGTGCTGGGAGCTCAGGGGGTGGGCAAGACGGCCATTGTGCAGCGCTTTCTTCACGATGACTACAGTGAAGTGGCGGTGTCCAGTAAGACACGGCGGATGCATCTTTCTGCCGCAGTGCTCAATGGTCATGTGCATGACCTTCAGATCACAGATTATCCAGCCATCAGCAGCTTTCCTGTCAGCTCTCTACAGGTACAGTAACCAACATACCACAACCCTGGACAGAGTCTAATAATATGATTCTGACCTGACCCTCTGTCAGGACAAGGTTTATAACATTTGAGGTAACCAAACGAACCCACCCATAGGGAAGGGAAATCACTAATGAGATCTCCGCAGTTGAATTCTGAGAGAAAATGACCCTGTGTGTCTCTAGAATTGCAGAAATCTGTAAAAAGTGGTATTGTAGTTGTTACAGTAGGGATCTATTTCTACCTGTTCTGGCCTAAAAATGACTAATTCATTTTTTTATTTTTTTTATTAGGTTAAATAATGGCCATGGACTTGTCTTTTCCCCTGCATGTCATATGTGGGGCTTTGTACATTTTAGGGAAAACATCTAAGACATTTTTTACAGTGTGTGAAAAGATTGTCTACAGATCTAAATATCAACTCAAATATTTCACATCAGATATTTTGAAAATCATCTGTATGTGTGTCAACAGATAATAGTTATGATAGTTATTGATAGTTATGCAACTCTGTTATGCCTGTGTGAAAGTCACGTGTTCATATTCATTTACAGCAGGTATTGATTCAGATAACAATAGTGGCAATAAAATTCACTGTACAAATAGTATGTTGTAGAAACAGTTTTGCTCACACTTTTTTTTATGAAGTGTAATTGCTATCAAATGAGAATTCTTAATTTTTTAGCTGATTCTGATATGCAGTCTTGGACACTTATGTAAACTGTTAATTTTTTTTAAAGGCATAAAAACATGCAATGCAATGAAATGCTTCATTTAATCATATATCCATGCAAAACGGTCATTTTATAAAAATTGCATGGTTCATGCAAAATCTTCTAAGTCCTATGAGATATTCAGACGTAGCAACAGTGTCAGAGGGTGCGAAGGGCCAATTAAGCAGAATGTTTTCAGTATTTTGATATGGGCTCTGTACGTTTATGCTCACTGAGTGCTTTATTATAGTAGAATGGTTTATAATGAACCAGTAGCTTGAGAGCACATGGCTCTGTGTAACACTTGTGATTTCAGACAGCTCGAAAGGATAACAGAGCCACTTGAGCAGCAGTTCACTTTTCTTTCTCAGTGGTGTCATAATGATTCAGTAATTTAATTAGTGACAATGGGAAGAGACGATTCTTTCATAACTTTACATCTATAATTTTATTCCCAACTGGAGTTTCCTGTCAGAGAACTAGAAGCTTGGGCTATCATTAACTAAGTGATTTAGACAACTGTTTTTCTTGCTTCAATTGCAAAAGCTAGCATTTCTCCTCAAACCATGTCCATTATAACCACAGTAACAGACTTCTACTAAAACATATCATTTGTTTGTAAATTGCTGAATGTGCCTTCAGTGTGCCCTCTATCTTCACATTCTATCTTTGTCTCATGTATCTTCAGTACGTTTATACTGAGTGCTTTATTATAGTAGAATGGTTTATAATGAACCAGTAGCTTGAGAGCACATGGCTCTGTGTAACACTTGTGATTTCAGACAGCTCGAAAGGATAAAAGAGCCACTTGAGCAGCAGTTCACTTTTCTTTCTCAGTGGTGTCATAATGATTCAGTGATTTAATTAGTGACAATGGGAAGAGACGATTCTTTCATAACTTTACATCTATAATTTTATTCCCAACTGGAGTTTCCTGTCAGAGAACTAGAAGCTTGGGCTATCATTAACTAAGTGATTTAGACAACTGTTTAAACCATGTCCATTATAACCACAGTAACAGACTTCTACTAAAACATATCATTTGTTTGTAAATTGCTGAATGTGCCTTCAGTGTGCCCTCTATCTTCACATTCTATCTTTGTCTCATGTATCTTCACATGGCCGATATACACAAATAGATGGGGAGAATAAGAATAGGGTGCTCATCCTCTATCCTGTTTTTACATGTATTACCTGTTTTACACTCCTATCTCCTTGAGTTTTAACTTATTTCCACAAGCAAATCAGTTGTAAACTAGCACATATTAATCAGTTCAGGTTTAAAGGTTCTGAATGAATCATCTGAACGTGAGTAATTTGAATCTCATAATGTTATGAATGCTTAGTGTTATTAGTTGATACTTGTATTAACCCTGTAAAGCCTATTCTAATTTTAACAGTTTATTGAAGCTTTAGACACCACATTTTAAAAAAATTATATTAATATGTTTTTGGGTATCATATCTGATAAATCAGGCTTTTATATATTTGATACAGGAGACTATGGAGCTCATACTTGAGGAGGAAAAAAAAACTCAATTTTATTCAGAGGCCCAAACTGAGCAGAAATAGACAATTTGGTGCAGTTGCTGATATTTATATGAAATTCTGATATCTTGCAATGTAAAATAATGAGAAATTTAGTAAACAGAACATTATAGCAAACTACTTAAAATCCATATAAATACCCAATAATATGTTGTAATAAGATGATATTTAAATGCTCAAAGCTCTGTAGTTTTTTATTAAAACGTATAATGCAATAAAACACAATGATGATTGAGAGATAAATAAATGTTCCTTAAAAGCCTCATGTATCATATTTGATACTTAAATTTTAACATGTTTTCTAAAAGAAAAATGTATGGATTATCAAGTTGCTTTAGTCTAAATAAGTTGATTAAGTAGATTTAGCAGTGGATTTAATTATATGAATGAACTATATGAGTATGAAATATACTATTAATCAGACAACAGAAGGCATGTAGTACATTGTGTATAATAGGTTTGATCATGTTGATAGAGGACTTAGACATTTGTGTATGAAATATGATACAGTATAGGCCAAGGTTAACTGAAGTTTGGATTTGTTTCCCATGATCAGGATGTTGTGTTGCTTCTGTGTCTATGCAGGAATGGTCAGATGTTTGCTGTCGAGGCATTCGGAGCGCTCATGTCTATGTTCTGGTTTATGACATCTGCTGTTTCGACAGCTTTGAGTATGTCAAGACCATGCGGCAGCAGATCTTAGAGAACAGGTACGTGATGCGAATATAGTCTCATTTTATTCCTTCACACCTTTATATCTTTGCACCCTTCTCTCTTCCTACTGCGCTTTATCTGCTTCCGCCTCTGTTTTTGTCTATTCCCTGCTTTTTTCTGTGCTGCTTTATCTCCCTTATGTTTCCCAACCCTTCTTTTCTTTTTTTCCCCCAATGTTTGATGCTTGCTGTAATTACACTCAAAAGGCGAGACCCTTCTGTAATCATGGGCTGCCAGCACACTGGGTCGTTTCTTCATCATTTGGATCCAAATCAAAACAGAAATGCCTTCCCTTCTCTGCTGATTGCAAAGGGCATGTAATGTCATCATCAAAAGCCAATTCAAAAGCCTCCGAGACTTTTTGCTTTGTACCAGAGTAGGTTTGATGATGATGATGATGCCTACTTGTAATTGTTTTGGCTGTGTACTAATGCGTGTTTGATATCTCTTTGATATCATTTACTGTTTGACTTGATATCCATATGTCAACACTTTTGACGAGGTGCTGCTTTAATTCATCATCACATTAATGTGAACAAACACCTTTTTTCTTGCTCTGATTAAATAAGTTGGTGTTTTATAGTCAATAACATACATATCTGAGCATCCCTTGCACTTGACATGTGAGACTAATTTGTTACACAGTGTCTTGGACCATCCACTACCAAATAGTGTGATTGTACAAGTAAAATAAACTAATACAATTCAAGAAACCATATTAATAGGCAGTATTTTTATTTAGTTAAAATATATAAAACATCATTAAAACAAGCTAAATGTTTTATAATATATATTTATATTGTCACAAACTGTAAATTATTATTGCACAGCTCTATTTATAAAATGAGATATTATAACTTTATCCGCATACATACAGCACACTCAAATAAAGTGATCTAGCAATTCGCAACTGCCTGATATTTTTTAATTTATCACAGAATGCAACTCTATTACCACCCAGCTCTTTATATAAAGTTGGATTTATAAGTACATCCAACTTTATCAACATTCATCGTATAGATAAGACGATATGTACTAACTGCTTGATTGCTTGTATCACCGCAATATAATAATATAATATAATATAATTTGACTTGTTTTCAGAGAATAGATCTACGTACACAGTTAGGGTTTGTGAGATTTATGCTTAAAGATTAGAGAAATCTTTTTTAAATAACAGGTAAAATAACAAAAAATATTTCTGAGGTGTATAAATTTGAATTGCTAAAGAGAGAACAAATTGGTTTGCAGAAAGAGGATAGGATCCGAGATGCCCTATGTATCAGAGTAACACACACAGTGACAGTGATGTTTCATCATTATTTAAATTCAGCTCAGTCACCGATTGGCTTAAACGGTCAGTGTGGGCGTCCGCGGTGAGCCTGTCACTCAGAGGCAGATTTATCGTAATCAATGGCGTCAGCTGTCATGCTTCGCTTGCGTCAAGGCCTGGGCTGTGAGGCAGGCGGTTCCGGTGACAAACATTCATGTTTTATTGATCCAGGCAGAACACAATTAAGTCACCTTGGCCTGACACTGCCTCACAGCCTCTGCTGTAAAATACGCAGAGGATGGGCTGGTTCGATTCACTGATCTGATCTGCTAATACCCAACAGAAGTGAGTGCGCGGGCTGTCAATCGTCCCTGTGATAAGACAGACCCTGTTAGTGTGAGGAATTCAAAGAAAGACAGTTAATTAATCTTTGGTGAAACAATAGCCATTGTCCTCATCTCAGAGAAAGTTTTGTATTGAGCTCTGTTAACGTTTCTTATGGGTCCATGTACAGTAGCTGTCCAACATGTACAATAACTGACAGCATTTTAAGGCATTGTAGGCATGTTATAATGACCTTGAAGACTGTTTCAAAAGCTGGGCAGCAACATTTTGTTGTCTTCTTAAGTTACCATCTTTTCATTCTTTTTTGAACCTGTCAGTCCTGTGTCTTGTGTTTTGTTCCCCACGTGTTCCATGACCCAGTTTTCCCTCTTGTTTGATTGTGTTATTTTGTCCAGGTGTGTGTCATTAATTTTCTTCATTTGCTCCAGTATTTAAAGTGTAGCTTGCCCTGTCTTCCTTCGTCCGGTATTGAATGTCTTCTGGTCTATGTATGTTCCTCCATGCTACGTGTGTTCCTGTCTGCCCTGTGTTACACCACCTGTGGATGATTAAAGACTGTGTTACTGAGAATTATCCTGCGTCTCCGCGTTCTCGTTGCCCCTCGCTCCAGCACAGTAGCAGATCGTGACAGAACCAGTCTGACCATTCTCCTCTGACCTCTGGCATCAGCAAGGCATTTTGCCCACATTACTGCTACTAACTACATTTACATTTAGTCATTTAGCAGACGCTTTTATCCAAAGCCACTTACAAATGAGGACAATGGAAGCAATCAAAATCAACAAAAGAGCAATGATATGCAAGTGTTATAACAAGTCTCAGTTAGCTTAACGCAGTACACATAGCCAGGTTTTTTTAACTAGATATTTTCTATTTTTTGGACCATTCTCTGTAAACCCAGGAGATGGTTGTTGTGCATGAAAATTCCAGCCGATGAGCAGTTTCTGAAATACTCAGACCAGCCCGTCTGGCATCAACTGATGCCAAGTTCAGAGTAATTTAAATCACCTTCCTTCCCCATTCTGATGCTTGGGTTGAACTTCAGCAGACCGTCTTGATCATGTCTACAGTCCTAAATGCATTTAATTGCTGGCAGTGTGTTTGGCTTATTAGACATTTGTGTTAACAAGCAGTTGAACAGTGTTGATACAGGAGTGTATAGAGAGAGAGAGAGAGAGATGGTAATAAATTAACAGCAGTTTATTTATTTCCTTTTTTTATAAGGCTGAGAACAAGTTGACATGTGGCTTTTACAGTAGCACATATCATCACTTAACAATCACGATAAATATGTCTTGAAAGGTTTATTATAAGTTATTGCTATTATTTTCTCTATGAAGAAAATGAATGTTTTTATTTTCATAATCATTGTGGTGCTGCTGTGATTAATGTGTTGTGGCTGTACAACTTCACTGAAGGAGCATTATTTGGTGTGTGGAGTTTCTGCTTATGTAGAGCATCTCTAATTAGACGCCTATGGGATTCTGTTAAGGTTAGGACATAGACAGGCGGTTTTGGAACAGACCCTTTGAGTTTGTAAGTCCCCAATGGCAGTTAATGTTATAGTCCTTGCCTTTCAGTCAGATCATGTCAGTGAAGGATGAATTGATGTACGCTGCACAGCAATCCAGACTGACAGTCAAACCAGCTAAATTTGAATGACTAAATGAATGAATCAAAGACTAGATTGAGTTAGTGAATGAATGAAGAATGAATGCGGTAATAAATGAATTCTGTTGCAGAGGGACTCTGCTGTGTTTGAGGATGAATTGAGTGTGTCAGAGGCCAGAGAACAGAGCTGTCTGTCACAGACAATGACTGATGGACAATGCTGGTGGTTCCTGTCAATTCAAGACCCAGAGTCACCCGGTGACTGACAGCATGAGGTCTAGAGAGGTTTGGGGCTAATTGTGTTTACGATCCAATCTTCTTATCAGTACACGGACACACATCAGGCACATTTTCCGAGGTCAGCTTTGAATGACTCTGAAGTTCTGTTATGAATCCACTTCTTTGGACACCCAGAGCTGTAGCTGTTGGTTTGCCGTTTTTTCCATAGAAGAGATCTATTTTTAGCTTTCCTGCCCAGTTTATATCAGTCCGGTGCAGCTCTGTGGAAAGCCTCTGTGAAGTGAAACAATTGGAAATCTATTTGTCTTTTTTCAGAGCTGTCAGAGGCACAGGTCATCTCAAACAGAGATAAGCGAGGAGACATGAGCTGCTCTCTGGGATCTCTGCTCTCTGTTGGAGACAGGACGAGAGGCCGATAGAGCAGCCCAGCTCCCTGTACAAATGACGGCTTCACTGCCTGACAGCTTGTCACTGGAGCAGTCTGCACACGTAATACTTGCAGGAGGCTGCTTATAGTCACCGATGAGCTAAAGATCCTGTCTCAGACCAATTTCGCTGTAATTGGCATGCCATTTAATAAATTAAATTTGACTGGCTTTTTTATTTTTGCTTGTATTTCAAAACTGAACCAATGGTTTTCATATAAATGTAAGATTTAGTTTACTTTTATTTTAAATTTTTATTTATATAATTTAAGCAGGTTATATTAATTTTCAGACAAAATGTATCCGGTAAAATAACCCAATAAAGCCCTACTGTATCATATTTGATACAAAAAATTTCGAAGGCCTCTGAATTATCAACATAATCAAAACATAATCAAAATCAAAACATAATCAAAACATGCCTTCTGTCATCTGATAGATAAATTCATAATGTTTTATCAAGTAAAAGGCCTCAGTGTCATTCTAAAAATGTCCACCCTCAAGTTGTAGTACTCATGTCTTTTTACTGTGAAATCTGTTTTTCATAAAGTAAACATAAGAATAACTTTTATATTGTTCAAGATGAACTTTTACTGGACTGAATCAACTTAGGTTTACTTGATTGTCCAAACATGATTTTTTTTTTTTTGAAAAACTGATGATTGTCCAAACTTTTTTGTAAAATTGAGAAATATTTATTTGTACATCTCTCAATCATTGCAAGCTATCATAAAGAATTTCTTCTTACTTTTTGGCCAAGCAAATATCAGAAACTGGACCAACTATATCATATTTTTGCTCAGTTTGGTGCTTTGAATAAAATTGAAGTGTTTTTCCCCTCCTCAAGTGTGTGCTCCATATTCTCCTTTATCATACTAGGCTATATGACCCATAAAAGCCTGATATATCAAATATGATACTCAATAAAAACCCATATGCAAACTTTTTTTTTTTAAAGATTTTTGTTTTATATTTTGTCTAAAGTTTCAAAAACCAGTTGTATTTCAAAATATAAAATTTTTAACATATTTCATATGTCAGGCTTTACAGAGTAAAAATTTTTCTCCACCAGTGAAAATAGTTCCATAAGAATCTAAATACATATATACATAAATAAATACATAAAAACAAAAAATATTCTTGAAAATATAAATATTTATAATAAATATTTTAATGTTCTGTTTAAGGACCTACAGAGAGTCAGGAAATGTATGCCAGGGGATATGAATTTGTAAAATTATTTGTGTGTGAAGTGTGCAACAGTAGTATATACCAAATAACATAGCAAATGTCAATGTTTATTAATCTTTTTGAAAAACAAAGTCTGGACAACCTTTATTATATATCCAAATGATGCCTGTACATTTAGAATATAATGGAGATGTGTTTGGATTATAATTAGACATACAGGAGTATGTCAGTAAAATCTAATGTAATAATTTAAAATGTCTATTTTTTAAAACTTTGTTCACCCAAAAATGGAAATTCTGTCATTATTTACTCTCTCTAATGTCATTCCTGACCTGCATGACTTTATTTCTTCTGCCCATGCTATGAAAGTTGATGGGGTCCAGTGTTGTTAGGACTATAGTGTTAGTCAAAATATCTTCTTTGAATATCTTCTTTATAAAAAAAGGAACTAAAGAAAGGCTTGGAATGACATAAGTATAAGCAAATGATGACTGATGAATTTCTGTGCTTTTTCTGTGCATTCAGTGCATTCACTTTTTCTTTAACACTGAACCCAAGATGCTGTTCCCATGCACAATGACATCAAATTATTATATGTATTATGCACAGGCAAATGCATAGATGTATACTGTACACAGAGAGTTGCATAAATATCTGAAATTGAGCCCAAAGGGCTGTGGGTGTGATGAATCTTTAGTCACCTGAAAATTAATGTAGATTTCAATGGAGAAGTCGTGTAATCCTAAGCCATCAAATGACTAGTTGTGTCCTTGTATCATTTACACCTTTCAAAGCCCATTAACAAATATTTTCTAATATTTCAGTGTTGTGATGCAAGATCATCGCTTGCATCTGTGAAGTAACCACAGAGACAACAATTTGCCTAATTTCTCTCCATACAAGCAATATGTGATATAAAACATTCACAAAATACTATAGATTTTGAAAAAAAAAAAAAAAGTAAAATGACATGCAAGATCCTGAAACAAACAGTTTAGGCATATTTAATAATATTTTTCACATCTTTCCTGCTGAAGCTGAAGTGTGATACACAAGCTTTAGTTTTAGGTTCATCTTCAAGGTAACGGCAATACAGTTTGATTTGAAAAAGTCTTTCAGTGTGATAACGGTACCGAGGTTTTTCCTAGAAAGTTGAAAAGAAGTGCTTTCGTCTACACGAATGCTGCTGTTCTGTATGTTGCCATGGATTTACACTAATATGCATCTTGATGCATGATATGCCACTTTATTCTGAAAGCATCCAGAATAGATGGATGCAAAGAGCGCTTCAGACAACACTGATATAGAGGTTGTTGGATTTGGCCCAGACCACATTAACTGTATCAGTCTGATTAAATTGCAGACCAAATTGATTCTCTTGATGAAGACATTCCACTTCATCAGATGCTTTACAGACACAAAAACATACGATCACAGCAGGACCTTTATAAAATATGCTATATTCAAATTTTATTAGAACCACATTTTATGAGCTGGAAAAACAGATAATGTAGTAAAATCTGTGTTGCCAAAATGAGAAACCCTTAGTTTGTTGCCTTTTTCAAACTAAACATCTGTTTTTGTTGTTGTTTTGTTTTATGTATTTATTTATTTTTTGCATGTCCGTAACAGAATGCTTTTGCAGAAAGACCAAGAGTCATGAGGCACAATGTCTGTTATATTTTCCATATATGTTTTATTTAGTATTATATTAAAAAAGAATTCAGATAAATTTCTTATTATTCGCCGATACATGGCTGAAATTAAAATATTATGCTATTTTTTTAGTACATAATACTGTCATTTTAAATGCTGCACATAAATGTAAACATAACATTATTGTGTAGCTACTGTATGAAGTTGGATATTAATTTTGATATTTGCTAAAGATTAAGCAGTGCAATAAAATTATTAGCGTTTTTAATGATTAAGATGACTGCAATGATAATCTAACTTATTCTTACTTTTACTCTTTAAATGTAAAGAGTAGATGGAATGAGCATGAACAATTTTTTAAAAAAATCCAGAATTGTCTGATACTAATAAATAAAAAAATTATTAGACAAAATGGTAATATTATATTGTGCATCCCTAGTTCTTTTTATTAAATTCCACTAGGGAACAAAAACATTTTAGCATTAGCCCTTCCTGTGTGTTAATTTCAACATATCTTCTAACGTCAAATAGTGAACTAGCAATTCAAAGACTTTTTTTTTTAAACAAACAACTAACATCACAGAAATACGTAAGGATGACCTGACATATGAATGTGGAATTCACTTTTAAATGCAGCTCTCCCAAAAATTAGAATTCTGTCATCATTACCAAAGCGTTTTTCCCCGAGGCTAGCATATTTTTTCAATTGTTTTCAGTGGGAGCGCTGCATTTTTTTTAAATGCCATGTCTTTTCAAGCTGAGTGCCGGGCGAACAATAGTGTGTTCAGTATTAGGATTTTTCAGTGTACTAATTTTGGCATTTAGGCATTTTATTACATATTTGTATGAATTATAGGTTTGTTAAGTCATTTTAAGAGAAATAACAACATTATGTGCAAACAAATTGCAATGAGGTGGTTGTTTTGCAACAAGGTGGACACAGTTCTGTTATTAAAAGTAGACCTGCTGGTAAAGAAGTGACAGGTACAAGAAAAAAGGGAGAGACAGAGATATTGGAGAAAATGAAAAGGAAAAGGGAAGTGATGGTGCAGTTCAAGAGAGAACCTTTTACTATTTTCCACGGCCCCGACTAAAGATTTAGACCTTTTTATGTGATGGTCATACAAATAGGCTAATAGGGTTGTCCGTGTTTCAGAATTTGTTGTGAGTGTATGGAATGGCCTGGATGAGTGTGAGATTTCCCGGCCTGAAATTTTGTCCCAGTCCACCCCTGGTTAATATTTCTTGTCTCTCCGAGTATTCATGTCTGTACCAGATGGGATTCCCGAACTACTACGAATATTGATATGAAAAATAATGCTTGCGATATTTAATTCAAGATGCGTCTGCCACATTACTTCTGCCTATATTCAGTATCAAAGCGTCTGACAGCTATGCGTTTTCAGCAGAGCACCTGGCGTTTTCATCTGGCTTAAAACGCTTTTGTGAACACACGGCCTAACTCACTTTCATGTTGTTCCAGACCCGTATGACTTGCTTTATTCCATAGAATAAAAAAGAAGATATTTTGTGAAACATTTCAGTGCTTTTTGTCCATAAAATAGAAGTCAGTGGTCAACAAAACTGTTTGGTTACCATCATTCATCAAAATATCTTCTTTTATGTTCCACAGGAGAAAGAAAGTCATACAGGTTTGAAACAACATGAGTAAAGTCGAGTGAGTAAACTATACTATAAAAAAATTTTTTTCTATTGACATTTTGGTTCCATAAAGAACCTTTAACATCCATAACAACATACTGAAAGTTTTTTTTCTGTGGTGTCTGTGGAATATAATTAGATTTGAGCCATCTTTATATTTAGAATTGTTTTTGCTTTCTATATTTATAGCATGTGTGTATCTTTCCACAGAGTCATGGGCTCTGGAGAGACGCCCATTCTGATTGTCGGCAACAAGCGTGATCTGCAGCGAGGTCGCGTCATCCCTCGACACAGCGTATCTGACTTAGTCCGAAAGAGCTGGAAGTGTGGATATGTGGAGTGCTCTGCCAAGTTCAACTGGCACATTTTACTGTTGTTCGGAGAGGCTCTCCGCAGCGTGGGTTGTGCCCGCTGCAAGCACGTCCATGCCACCATCCGTTTCCAGCGGGCGCTCAGGAGAGAGAGATGCGTCCTAATGTGAGCTCGCTGTTTCTCTTCTACAGAGCTCATTCTAAAGCGGTTTATGGCTATGGACACTCTATTATTGTGTGGGCAGCTGGAAGAGCTGTGATAAGCCTCATGCCAAGGAACTTAACATTTGGGATTCTAACTATGGACAGAGCAATGTGGTCTTATAACAGGAAGTCCCTGTTGCTTCATTACTTAAGCCTTCAAACTGATGTCTCCGCTTTTGGCCTGGAAGAACACAACCAACATCTCTGCCTCTTATCTTAGAAATCCAAACTGCCAAAAGGCTGGTGGAAGACAACTAAATTCAGCTTTAATATTACGTTAATACACTTGCTTACGTTCAGGCCAGGACAGCACATAGACGCTCCTCTATGCTTATGAGCTTAAGGATCTTCCAGTTCCTGCAAGCAGAAGTGTTTCCCAGCTCAGGTGCCATATGCAGGCACTGATTCGGCAATACACCACACAACACAATTTATACAAAGAATCTATGTTCTATGGATACTTCTGTGTTTTTAAAGGGGTAGTTCACTAACAAATGGCATAATTTACTCACCTCTGTGTTGTTCTAAACCCGTCTGACTCTCTGTCATTTGTGGAACACAAAAAGAGAAATTTTAATAATGTACTTGTCGCTCTTTTCCATGTAGTTACATACAATGGGGAGCTTTCAAGCTTCATAAGGGATGCAAAAAACAAAAAAGATCCATACTGCTCCAATACCATACAATAGCTTTATATAGGAATTTTATGGGAATTCACCAAAAATCTTCCTCTTCAGTGAGCTGGAGGAGCTGTGATAACCCTCTGCTGCAATCAGGAGTTGAGCTGAGTTGAACTCGAACCAGGGGCCTCAATAAAATAAAATGTTGCATAGAAATTGTCCTACATTTGATCATACGATCATTTCTCAAATGTGCATACGTGTGATTCGGAGAATGAACGCACAAAAAACGCTTACGCTTCTCTTTCAGATGTTAAATTTATAAATCGCAAATTATATTGAAATTGTGCGCAGCTGAATGGTTTCAGATTTCAACTTGTAAACGCAGCCTAATTAATGTCATTAACATATAATAAGCAGCAGTCTACGTCCAAATCCTTTACTTGAGAATGACGATCGACAAGAATTTCTTACATTTCTACTCAGACACTGAAAAGTGCATATATCTGCTTGGACACTGACATGGGAGTAATCACTTTTCCACAGACCCGTTTTTATAGATCTGAAAGTTGGTGTGGATTTTAGCGTACACACCCTCTAAAAACAGTTTTGTGAATCTGATCAACTTATTCATTGAAAAGATCTAATAAAGGTTCATTCATAATTTGGACATAGCTACTTCCAAGAGCTTGGGCATTGGGTAGATGTAAAGTTTTTCAGTGAATAACAACTTGAATTTCAGTCTGTTTGTGATACAAAGCTCTTGAATGGCTTTATAAGACTTGCAATATAGTGCAGTACAGTATTATTTAAGCATTATTTTTATACTATTATAATATTCATTAATATTTTGAATTAGCTTTTATTTTTATATTTTCAGTGTTTATTTTATTTGTCATTTTTATTAGTCATTATATATATATATATATATATATATGGGTGCACCGATACTGGTATCGGGCCCGATACTGAGCTCTTGTACTCGTACTCGTTAAAATGCCCCGATACCAAATACTGATATATATAAATAGCTTCTATATAGATTTATTTTATTTATAATTAATTTTTTTCTATGTAATTTAAATTTAATTTTTATTCTAGTTTTGGGTTTAGTACTTCAAAATAAACTTGTTTCAGTTTGCTGCCTAGGCAACATTTCACATTTTTGAAGCTTTTGATTTTTTATCTAATATTCATATTTTATTTCAGCTCTATTTCAATTACTGAAAACAAAATTAGTTTTAGTTAACACTGGTGCATAAGTCAATCACTTTTGTGGTGCTTTTGCATCCCTTTTGATGCATGAAAACTTTAGTCTTCATTCATTGCAATTGCATGGAATAGTGACTAGAAAAGAATTAAACATTCTTTTGAAAGTCATGAGGATGAGTAAATAATGACAGATTTTGAACTATTGCTTTAGGGTATGACTTGATACTGTGTCTTATCCCAATGTAAGTTTTGCAAAGGTATGAGAATTTGCCCCACTTTGAAATGGTGCAGACATATTAAATCACAAAGGAAAGAGGGAAATATCATTTCAATGTAAATGTATTCTAAATGTATGCTCTTACATTGTGAAACCCACTGTGTCACGCAGAGGCTTGGACGATGTTTGTGTGCGGCAAGAAAGAAACTAAAAATATACCCTACTTTAACTCACCACATCTCTGGTGCACATACAGACCAGCTTCTGCTACACACCCCTAGTCCGATCAAATATATGTTCAATACAAATGTCTACATGTAAAGAGCACATTATTCAATAAATGGACACTGGACACAGAAAAAGCATCCTCGTCTGTGTGATGTATGAGTACTAAATCAATACCAGTATCAGTATCTGTTCTTCAGAGGTAATGTATCTGCCCTGCTGTTTATGCAATGCACTACACATACACAGTAATAACAAAGTGTGATTCACAGCATGTACTATTTAAATCAGAGAGGCAGTGCGTAATATTGTGGCTCACTGAGGAACAACTGGTGCTGGTGAAGCTTACTAATGTTCATTAATCCTTAAATAATCAAAGAATAATTTCAGGTAGCATGACAAATGGAAGCATGTTTTCGTATTTTTATTGGATGAGATTCTGCGTAATTCCAAAAAGCTGAATTTAATCTTTTTATCCCGAGTCCACAAAAGTGAGGTCCTCATAGTATCATGCTCTCACAGTCCTCTGAGGATATATTCAAAGTGCTCCTCTCCACTGACAAGAGTCTGGGGATGTTAAGGAAGGGGGAGTGGGGGATGAAAGGAGACTGGGGTTGGAGGGAGGGAACAAGGAGAAGAAAGTTGCAAGGGAGCACAGCTGCTGTACTGTGACAGACTGCAGTTCTGACGAGGCTATTATTAGCTCCAGACTTATGCCAAGAGTTTTTTATAAAACCAGCAGCCAAAACACTGAACCACAAGGTGACTGGAAACATAATTGGAAAGAAACGCTAGCGGGATGCTTGGTGGAGCTGACAGGAATAAACAGCATACAGGGCAAAAGCCTTGTCCAGTCGTGACATATTTACAGCATGTTACAAAATGTAAAAACATAAAAATTCAAAACTGTTCATGGACATGAATTTTGATGCGGCAAACATCCACATAGCTCTGATGTCAGTGTATCGTTTTTTATTAAATGGGGCGAGTTCCTCTCTTTCATCATCCTCAACTATGAAACACCGGATTACATGGAACATCTGATCCGTCACGTCTACAGGCCACCCTCCTGCCTGAGTGTGACAATGAGGAGAAATGCTCATAGGAAAAAAAAGGATATCAATTCAGACAACACTCTTTGCGAACCTTAAAGGGTTAGTTCACCCAAAAATGAAAATTAGCCCACAAATTACTCACCCTCAAGTCATCCTAGGTGTATATGACTTTCTTCTTTCAGACGAATCCAGTCGGAGTTATATTAAAAATTGTTACAGGAGGCCTTTGTTCACCCCCCGGAGCCGTGTGAGAAAAGGCACTTTTTATTTAACTTCTTTTGGACTTATGAACTGCAACACCCGCTGAGTAGCATTAAACAGCTTGAAAGATCAAAGACAATTTTTTATATAACTCCCACTGGATTCGTCTGAAAGAAGAAAGTCATATACACCTAGGATGACTTGAGGGTGAGTAATTTGTGGGCTAATTTTCATTTTTGGGTGAACTAACCCTTTAATGTAAAGTCTAATAAGTCAAAACCAAATTATATGTTAAACAGCTCTGGATATAGCATAATCTAACCAAAAATAAAAATTCTGTCATCATTTATTCACGCTCATGTCATCCCAAGCCTATATGACTTTCTTTATTCTGTAGAACACAAAAGAGATATTAAAAAAAAGTGTTATTTTGTCCATACAATCAAAGCCAGTGGGCTCTTGTGTTGTTTTGGACCCCACTGACTCAAAAACAGTTGAAACATTCTTCCAAATAGACTTAACAGAGTAGGACAGAGTGGAACTGATGAAGTAAACATCTTGACAAAGAGTTAACATTTACATATTAATTAATTAGACACTAAAGAGTAATGAAAAACAACAAAAATACTTTGCTACTTTGCTATGGCATTAACTGTTGTCAAGGAGGTTTTTATTAATTCGTGTACTGTACTTTTTGATGTACAGTATGTATATGTGTAAACAATATATGTACAAACAATCAACAAGCCACCAACATGTCTAATTTTAGTTAGGGCAACTTCATTCTTTGATGAAAGTGCTGTGATTTTTGTAACTGATCTTGAAGGCTTTCGGAAAAGTGCATTTTTAGCAGGTAAACCAGTCCTTGACCAACATACGGCTCATCTGAACTGGCAGTCAAATTTTCAGTAAACTCTAAAATGACAAAACTGTGAATTTCTGAGTTGTCGGTTAAACCTAAGATTCCAGATCTTGATCTGCATGTGGCTCCTTGTTTGATCTTTGGCATGTTGTTGTACTTGGTATTGGGACCTGGGAGTTTGGTTTAGTCCAAGTGTTTCCTCGAAGCTTGTCTGTGCCAAAACGCCCACGTTGGGAATCATTTCCTCTCTGGTTGTGAGAGTGTCCCTCATTACTGCTTGTTCTTTTGTAGAAAACTGGTGTTGGGATCTTTGAAGGCTTGTGGTCAGACCTGTGATCACGTCTCGGTCGCACACAGGGTTTTAGTTTTAGCTTGAAGATTGATGGCACTCTTTCGGGCTTCCTTAAGGATCTCCTTTGTCTGAATAAAGAACTCCTCTGTTTTTTTACATGTTCAGTTCCTAAACTTGATACTTTTCCATGAGGAATTTTGGTCTCAGCATTGGAGTTGTCAAATGGCACCTTCACAAGTTCAGCAGTCTCCTTTGAATCCATACTGGATCCCAATGAGGACCAAGAACTGGTCATACAAGGTTTAGAGACCTTAAGGTGATGTGTGGTAACGTGGTCTTCTTCCACCTTCCCTCTGAGAC